TTTAATTTTAAACAGATTTTATTTTTGTAAAAATAAAGATCATATTAAACTATCTTGGAAACTCTATACTGTGCTGTCATAATTTTTCTATATTATATATTTTCGATTTTTCAAAACCCTTATATATAGATTTATACTTTTATATTTGCCTTAAACCATGATTTTCAATCTTAAACTATGAAAATTCACATACAAATATGAATTACAACATACAAGATACAGTATAACTTACCTAAATATATCGTGTCATGTAATCGCTCAATCAGTCTTTCAACCGTGGAAAGACAATAAAACAGCTTGTAAACAATGTCACGTAACATTACATTTACCTCAGAAATGCCATTCCATGTCCATAGCTTGATATTAGCTAGAAAAAAATTCTAGAGAGGGAAATTTTACTAAAAATATGCACTATATTGATGAATACACTAAATGAATCTAACTGAATCTACAACGGAATTTAATTGAAAGCTTGTAAAGTTCACAAGGTCAGAAATGCCCATAATTGAATAGTTGAATCATTAGGATATGAAACACAATGTCCTATATCTTTTTGGTAACACTTTAATTCGATAGTCCACTTTAGACATTCTACCAATTATCTTTGCATCTACAGTATATGTCAACTACCATTCATTAGAGTATTAGTAGACTGTCTGCTTAATATCTGCTAACACTTAATTTTGATGCTCTCCCAACAGACATTACTCATAGACTTTAAGTAACTTTGCGAATATTGTACGTCAACTAATTCTACTGACCATAACCTTAATCTAACAGTCAACTTATACTGTAATGAGAGTTAGTTGACATATAGTAGTAAAGTTACTTATAGTTAGTAAACTATATATGTCTAAAGTGGATTATCTTTTTCACAAAGTCAAAACTTGGTAAACAGACAACAGGTCAATTATTGTATTTTTATCTACTTGTACTTGGATTGCTGCTTACGGCCATATTTAATAAATGTAATTATTTAATGAACATTACGTCTCTTTTATCAAATTACAGTACCATTTTTCTTACAAAAGCACATTCATTACCCCTTCCTAGATGCAGTAATCCTCTCTCTTTCTCTCGGTCTTCTGTTATTCAGCACTCTTACTCCCGTCTCTTTTGCCTCCTAAAGCACTGTGGGGGTTTCCTAAGCTTCTCTGTGGCTCTGCAACCCACAGAATGATTTGAGAATATGCAAAACACTTACATAACAATTTTTAATTATTAACGTCTTTATGTGGTTAAAACAGAGCATCAGAGGTAGCAATGCCTTATGTAAGATCTTATATTATTAAAAAAAGACATGCTTCATGGGTGTGTAGATATGTGTGAGCGAGTGAGCGTGCTCCAAGTATGGCTTCATAATTGCTAAGAAACCGATCTATTTATAGTTTAGCAACCCACAATACTGACATCATCTAAACTTAAAAGGGTAAAGCAAAAAATTTAAGTTAACTGGCACACTGTTTCATAACAATAGAGATGGCCTCAGTTCCTTTAACTTCAGACTATAAAATTATTTAATGAAAAATGATCTGACGAAACCATCTAATTATATACTATAGTTTCAGGGACACTCAGACTCTCAAAGCTCTGTTATTTAAGTAGGACAGGTAAACTGTCTGTTTCTGTGCAAACATGAGAGTCGACATGAAAGGGACTTTAAAATTACGCACAGGCTACTGATAAACACTTGCCTAGCATTTCAACCCAGAACTAGCTGTAAATGACGGGCAATGATGCAGAACAGCCTGAAATTCCCCATGACGTAGTATGACGTAGAGTAGACCAATGACAAAGCCAGTGAGCTTATTTTATGTTGGTAAAATAGGTAATTATTTTATATTAAATTATAATTATTCCAATGTAGTATAAATAAAACACTAATGTAAAATAAAAATATGCAAAATTATGTTAAAAAAAAGTTTTTTAAAAGTTGAGTATAATTTCTCTTTTGTTTGGTGTTTAATAAGAGTATTACAAAAACTTTGAATTATTTATGAGCTTTTACTTTTTAAGCAAGACTGCTATTTAGCTAAACTTATAGCAAAGGTCACATAATGCTGCTACTTTTACTCTTGATTTTTTTTCCGACTGTCTGTGATTGTTGTGTTCTATGTTAAAAGAAGTGGAGGGAGAAATACTTCCTTTTCCTAACAATGTCCCGTTTCCTTTTATCACCTCTCTTTATCCAAGAATTCTTGGATACACATTTCTTTCAAGATACATACATAATAAAAATCAAACTTTCATATCAATACTGTTACGTGAGGATCGACACTCAAAGGAAATGTCAAGATCTGAAGTATTGCTATTTTCAGATCAATCGGTCCACTAAACAGTGACTCTGTATGGATGAGGAAAAGTGGATGGATGCAGAAACTTGCTCAACTTAACTTATAATCAAATAGTGCTAAATTTCCCCCTGTGATGAAGAAGCCTGACCTGTGACCTTGTGATATGTATGAGTCCATAATGTCATGTACAGATTGACCCTTTTCTTGAACATATGGCACAAGAGAACACTGACAGATTAGTGATATGTGCAGAATGTGGATGTGACAGAATATGTGGTGAGGATGTGCTTAGACTCTGGCTGGATTACTGTTCACTAAAAATAGTACATTTGGCTAAAAACAGAGACCATCTTTTGGAGATTAAAGCATAACCAATAACATTTTTTTAAAGCTAAGTCGATAGTAGTAAAGGGAGAGAGAGAGAAAGAGTCCACTGTGACCTGACATAGTCAAACAAATCAAGCCTGACATATTCCACAGCACCAAGCTGCCTGACCATCTACGTCACTGAGGTTCAAGGCAAGATGTTGATCGACTGCATTCAGCAGGGGAGCAAAGATGGAAATGTACAGGGGAAAAATGCAGTCAGTCAAGTCATACAAACACACAGGTCTAAAACCTATCATGTGCAATATGTGAGTTTGGTTTGGTGAATTGATCAAGGCCACCAGGGCCTGACCTCAAAAAAATTTATCAAGAAATTTGAACAAGACATTTTTACAACAAGAAATCTGAGATGAAAAAATATGATTATGTGTCCTCCAATGCGAGAGAAAAACAATGGCATTTCTCCTCTCTTTTATTAAATGCTCTATCTCTTTTTTTAGTATGTAGTGAAGTGGGGAAACTGTTTCTTCAATGGGTAGTCACACAGAGAAAGACTTTATTAGCCAACCTGGCAAACATAATAAATCAAATAGCTTGTTTAAGCACTAACAGATGCTGTAAATTATTGCCAGACACAGTTAACATTTGTAAATCCTTTTTTCTTCCAGTTTCTACCATCAGAATCCAAAGGAAAAGTGACAATCCTACAGTAAATGTGTTCATCAAGTCTTAAAGACAAATGTCAAGCATATCACATGTTTGTGACACTCTGTTATGTGTCTCTCTCATGTGAGCTGAAACACGATGATAGGACGACAGAAGGCCTGTATTCTGACAAAAGTAATACATATCTTGATGTTATTAATGTATTTACTTAGTAAGTGTTAAAGTGACAAGGAGGTACTGAGGCAACAGAAGGTATTGAAATCATCAATGACGTGGTTGCCTTGGAGCATGACTGTAATTCTGTGTCTGATTAAGACTGTTTAAGGGAACAGATGCCAATGTCTTAACACCTTGCCATTTCTATCCTCTAATAAAAACTCAGAAAAGCAAACATTCAATGAGAATGAGAGAAGAGTGAAAAGGATTCTGAGGGACGTGAGACGTGAGGAGATGAAAAGAGAAAAAAGGAAAGGAGAAAGGGAAGAGAATCAGAAAAGAGAGAAAATGATACAAAAGATGAGAGGTGAGAAAAAGTGAGACAAGATATGAGAGAAAAGGAGAAAAGAAGAGAGGAGATGACAAGAGAGTCGACACAATGCGAGGTGAGACGAAGAGTCGAGAGGAGAGGAGAGGAGAGGAGAAGAGAAGAGATGCGAGAAGATGAAATTAAAAGAGAGGAAAGGAGAAAAGGAAAGGAGAAAAGAAAAGAAGTATGAGGAGAATGAAAAATGAGAGGAGAGGATAGAAAGTGAGACAAGAGGTTAGAAGTAAGGAGACAGGAGGAGAAGAAACAAGAGGAGGGGAAAGGAGAGAAGACAAGACGAGAGTAGAGGAGAGGAAAGAAGAGGAGCGGAGAGAGAAAGATGATTGCGTGGGCTGCCTGCTCCTTTTACACAGCCATCCAATAATATTGGCTAATTGCATGATTTCTTCAGCTTCTCCAGCCTCTCATCATGAGTGGGAGTCAAAGGCCTCATTGGTGGAGTATATAGCTGCTGACAGAATAACTTGTACTGACTCTCTCTCTCTCTCTCTCTCTCTCTCTCTCTCTCTCTCTCTCTCTCTCTCTCTCTCTCTCTCTCTCTCTCTCATTCTCTCCCACTCTCTCTCCCTCTCTCTCTCTCTCTCTCTCTCTCTCTCTCCCTCTCTCTCTCTCACACGTTGGTTTCTGTAGCAGCGGTCCCTCTGAGACAGGTTTCCCCAGAATCCACGTAAAGAGGTATCTCTACCCACGCTGAAGAGTCAGGAACATCTCATTTGGAGCTTACTTCGGTGCTGCCTCATGCACATGCGCGCACACACCACACACCCGCAAAGCCCTCATGCTTTTTCCTCTGGTTCTCTTTTATTAAACACTAGCTCTATTTCTCCCTCTCTCTCTTTCTCTCGTCATCCTACACTCTCTCACGCAGGAAACAGGGGAACCTGCGTGGGCGGTAGCGTCTCTCCCTGTCATTGAAGCCTCAGGCCCCGTTGACAAATGAGACGCTGGGGCCTTTCGACTGAGTGTGGGTGAGAGCGGGGATTCTTTATCTGCACTGGAGGATCTCTCTCACACACACACAAATAAAAACCAAAGAGCCCTGTGACCGCCACCCACTTGATTGCAACAGGGACAGAGCAGGTCACAAGCCGGTATTAAGACATGTGTCGAGTTTCTCTGGCAGTTTAGCCCCTGCACCGTGTCCAAATTTGATTAAAGAGTAAACTCACGGGTATTCTTCTGCTAAACGCTGAGCCATTTGGAAAGCTGTGGGGTCACGATCTGCCGCCACCACCATTACATCAGGTACCGACTGCAGGATGGCCTTCAAGTGACCTCCGGCCCCAAAGGTCAAGTCCAGGACAACCTGTTGGAACACAAAAACAGACCAGAAAGAGAAAAGTAAAATATTTTATTCATGATGAAAACTACTTTCGGCTTGAACAAAGCTACTTAATGTTCAACCAAAGATTGATTTTGCTCTAAGTATGAGGCCACTGTCCATAAAGTTTGTCGCTACTTTTCAAAGAGGAAACACATTTGCACATTCTCCCTCTTTTTCTTCCCTACAAACACACACGCTCACACTAGAGACACTATCCTGTGTTCTCACTCAAAAGTCAATGCATGAGTCATCATCTCTCCTGTCGAAAGTGTCTCAGTGGTTTCTTAGAGCCACAGTAGCAGCTACACCTCGGGTCCATTTTTCCAGAGCCATCCACCCACCCACACGTCATACCCTAAACAATACGAATCCATCCTTAATAGCACTGATACTAAATTGTTGTCATTAAAATGCCTGATAATCTCACCGAAATGACTGAAGTGTGAAGTGTGAAGAAGAATCTGTTGGGGTCAGAACGTTCAAGGTTTTTTTGTTGGTTTTCCACCATTTTGTTCACCATTCTTTCACTTTGGTTACTGGTCTGAAAAGCCTAGAGCAGGGGTTCTCAAAGCGGGGTCCATGCCCCATACCCAGGGGGTCCGCAAAATAAACGTTGGGCCCTATGATTCCCACAATGCAGAAAACAGACGGAATCGCCAAATTCAGTCATTAAAATGGAATTTACAGTATAACATGTAATGTCACAGAATTTGTCCAATTTTGGATGAATATATCAAAAGTAGAAATGTATACTTAAACATATTACATAAAATATTAAAGCCCAAAAAGACTGCCATTTATGAAGTCTGCATGTTCTGCACGTCTCTGTGTGAATGGGTGCTGCAGGCGAGCAGTTTGATCTGTTCACATACTCAAGCACGCGAGACGCTTGTGGCGTTTTTAGCGTCTGCATTCTCACTATATGAGGACATGAACTTAATCTCCAGAGCTGCTCTGAGAGTCACTTAACCAGCATTTTACCATTTAGTTTGATAAAACTATTGTCATCATATCATATGTACACAGACACTCAAAGGTCTTCAAGACAACCAGTCAAACTAAAAGTTCTCTTTAACTTGAAGAAATTATAACAGAAATATATTACTATTGTACAGAAGAATGTACTTCTCACAGTAATAATAATAGTAGTAATAATACAATTATTATTAATCACACATTTTTCTTCCAATAATCACACATTTTTACTAAACCTCTGTTGTGCAAGTAAAATGAGACAGAGTTAGGCTACTTTCACACTGTACATTTTTGGGATTTACAACAACATTTACTGATAAGTGTAGTGTCTGGACCAATCAGACAATCATTATATTTAATGAATAATCCAGCAAACTCACTATCCCAACAAAGGTCTGTGAAACTTCCCCCAAATCAAGCTAACACACTGGCAGAACTCTGTGTCCTGTTACAAGACTGATAAGTTTTACGACCCAAAAGAATGTGCATGGACTTAATTCTTGCTGAGAAGGAGAAATGAACCATTTTAATTCTATATATTCTATATACACTCACCTAAAGGATTATTAGGAACACCCGTTCAATTTCTCATTATCAATTATCTAATTAACCAATCACATGGCAGTTGCTTCAATGCATTTAGGGGTGTGGTCCTGTTCAAGACAATCTCCTGAACTCCAAACTGAATGTCAGAATGGGAAAGAAAGGTGATTTAAGCAATTTTGAGCGTGGCATGGTTGTTGGTTCCAGACGGGCCGGTCTGAGTATTTCACAATCTGCTCAGTTACTGGGATTTTCACGCACAACCGTTTCTAGGGTTTACAAAGAATGGTGTGAAAAGGGAAAGTCCTGTGGGCGGCAGTCCTGTGGGCGAAAATGCCTTGTTGATGCTAGAGGTCAGAGGAGAATGGGCCGACTGATTCAAGCTGATAGAAGAGCAACTTTGACTGAAATAACCACTCGTTACGACCGAGATATGCAGAAAAGCATTTGTGAAGCCACAACACGCACAACCTTGAGGCGGATGGGCTACAACAGCAGAAGACCCCACCGGGTACCACTCGTCTCCACTACAAATAGGAAAAAGAGGCTACAATTTGCAAGAGCTCACCAAAATTGGACAGTTGAAGACTGAAATAATGTTGCCTGGTCTGATGAGTCTCGATTTCTGTTGAGACATTCAGATGGTTGAGTCAGAATTTGGCGTAAAGAGAATGAGAACATGGATCCATCATGCCTTGTTACCACTGTGCAGGCTGGTGGTGGTGGTGTAAAGGTGTGGGGGATGTTTTCTTGGCACACTTTAGGCCCCTTAGTGCCAATTGGGCATCGTTTAAATGCCACGGCCTACCTGAGCATTGTTTCTGACCATGTCCATTCCTTTATGGCCACCATGTACCCATCCTCTGATGGCTACTTCCGGCAGGATAATGCACCATGTCACAAAGCTCGAATCATTCAAATTGGTTTCTTGAACATGACAATGAGTTCACTGTACTAAAATGGCCCCCACAGTCACCAGATCTCAACCCAATAGAGCATCTTTGGGATGTGGTGGAACGGGAGCTTCATGCCCTGGATGTGCATCACACAAATCTCCATCAACTGCAAGATGCTATCCTATCAATATGGTCCAACATTTCTAAAGAATGCTTTCAGCACCTTGTTGAATCAATGTCACGTAGAATTAAGGCAGTTCTGAAGGCGAAAGGGGGTCAAACACAGTATTAGTATGGAGTTCCTAATAATCCTTTGGTGAGTGTATAACCATGTGATAAATGTATTACATGTATCTAATGTTCCATCTCATGATTTTCCTTTATGTTGTTTGGTCTATCTTTTCTTTTTCTTGTAAACTCTAATGGGTTAATGTTTCAGACTTTGCATACTATGGTTAACCAAAATCATATGTGTGGCATATTTGGTCTCTATAACCTGGTACTTTGAAGATCGAAATGACTGTGTACATGATATGTCGATAACAACAACATATTAGTATTACAAGAATTTTTCATAGTTTCTTCATCGGCTACCACCACCCCTCCAGCGTGCACATGCAATGAGCACCCTTAAAACAAAGAGCAATAAACCAAATTCCACCCTTCTTATTGGCCGAGCCAACCCTGAGAGGTTGGACTTTTCTCAGGTTATAAATTGCATCCACACCAGCCCTTCCCTCTCTTGTTTGCTTGTCCTCTGGTCCTGTTAGCCTCTTGCGCTCTTAGCCTCTTGCTCTCTTACTCTCTTGGGCCTTCCTGAGAAGTCCTAACGTGAAGATGATGCTGAACTAGAAGTCCCTCAAGGACTCCCAAGCTTGCGCCAGGCTGCGGCCTTGTCTTTCCATTCATCAAAGACCCTCTGACTCCCACTGGTTCTCTCTCATCAAGACCACATCAGCAAATATCAACTGGTGCCTCAACAAATTGCATCAGGACAGTTTAATTCAAATGGACGAGACATGCAAGTATCAAACTTAGTCTCATTATTTGATACATTAAGTATCCTTACCCCTTTTAAAGAAGGGCGTGTTAGAACAAAACTGATGGTTTGCTCAGACTGTTGATCTGCTGAACATCAAACAATGCTATAACTTCTTGCTTTCCTGTATTCTGCTTCAGCTCTCTTTCCCTTGGTAAACTGTATGCATGTATGTATGTGAATTTTAGAGTAGTTTAAATGTTTAGTCTAGTTAATAAAGTCTTTTTCATATCACACGTAAAGTTGTCTGTGTCTCAAGCTCATATCTGGAGTCACTAATCATAGATCTTGACTACTTGCTCTTAGTAGTACTTAGTAAGAAAGACATTTCCCATGCAACAGAAATGTACATTTCTATTAATTAATTAATAACCAATATTGAGTGTTCACGGGATGAACCGAGTAATTGGTTGTAATGTTAATGTAGCTACATCAAGTTAACCCGATTAACTGATCCAAATATTCATAATCAATTATAACAAGTTATGATTGATTATTCATATTTCATAGAGCTAGTTTGCTACATAGGTTTGAGTCTTGAAATGTCCCGTTCACACCGCAACTTACAGTAACATCTCGAAAACTGTCTGTATGAACGTGCAACAAGAGTCAAGCCTGTATTCTCTTAACAGTAACCATACACACACACACATATATATAAATTTCATTTCTGTGTTAATTTATCATGTTTTTTACAATATTTTATACATTTATACATTAAATGTAATTTGTATTTTTGAGATTTATTAAATGCATAGCTCACCAAAAATCATTTATGCACTTTCAGGTATTTCGTATGGCCACAAAATGAAAGTAAATGTTGACCAGAGCTATCAAGTAAGATTGTCAAGGCAAGATTTTCATTCAACAACAAAATTCCAGTCTATTCCAGACACAAAACTGTTGTATAGCTTCAGAAGACTTGGATATAGCATATTAGTCGTATTCGTATACTGACAGCTCCTGGTCATTGCTGGTTTGTTTGTAATGTAAAAAGCAGCTTCTTCAGAAAAATGTTTCGGTAAAATATTCTTATGCATGATTAAGCTCATATACAGCTACATATAAAACATTAGAAACACTGTGAATTCCATCAGAAATCTAAAACTACATTTGCTTCCTTGCTGGCAAAAACAGGCAGTGTTTGTATTACAGCATGTGGGTTCTTTTTGTTCTTCCTTCATTCCACTGCACACTGATTAACTTGTGAGACAGAGACAACATGCTCTAAGGCAGACGCCATAGGCCTATAGTTCTGCTCCACCGCTGGGCAGCACACCACAAAGAGAGAGTAATTAGTAGCTTCTAATGGATACGTGTCATTAGTACTAGCTGGGAAAATACATTGGGGAGAGAAAGAGGAAGGGCCTGGCATCAGAATATTACAATGCACGATTTTCAATTTAATCTCATGCTAAGAACAAGAATTTTGGTTTCTGATCACCTCATGGGAGAGACGCCTGTGATAGCGCCTGAGTTCGTATGTGAGTCAGTCCCTTTTTCATCATCAAGTTTGAACGTTCATCATG